TCTGTGCACCTCAGTTCTCTCACAGATAAACACTTGTTTGCCAGCCTGCAGTTGTGAATCACACACCTGAGCTGGCTGAAAGTGGCGCACACCCCTGAAATAGTTCAACAGCTGCATGTGTGAGAGCTGCCCCTCTCAGAAGCCTCTGAGTGCTTCACTGCTGATCCCCAGTATGCAAATGGAGCAGAAACTGGGGGAAGAAACCCTATTTTTATTACAACCTCTCCTACAACTTTCCACTTTCCAGCTCCTCCCCAGCTCAAGGAATAATTGGAAATTTGGAGGTGGCCACCAGGAGCTCACAAAAGCTGCAGGCAAAGGCCAGGCTGCACCCCCTGACTTAGAGAGGAGTTGTTGCTCCCCACCCTGGTTTGACTGCTGGCTGCAAACAGCTGAGGATTCAAACATCTACACTTTTTCCACCTTCACTTGCCTATGTAAGTAGGCACAGAGCATATTTAGAGACGGAGGAAAAAAAAAAAAAGAGAAGGATGTGGTTGTGTTTGCCGCTTTGAAAACTGTAAGGCACGGGCTGTAAGAAAACGCTCTCATGCTCTCTAGAACAGCCTGGACTGAAGCAATGCTGCTGGTCTGCTTGCCAGGGGTCAGGTAAAGTAATTCCTGTTTTAGTTGTTGGCTTTTATTTTTCCCACAATTTCATAGCAGCATTGATTGTAGACACTTATTAAGCTGGTAAGATGATTGTTATTTATAAAGTTCAAACAATAAGATCAAACGTAGTGTTGTTTAGCTTAGAGCAGAAAGACTTCTGCTTTAGTGATAAATATAAATCTATTCTGTTATAATCAAAATACTTAGGAAAAAAAATTGTAAGAAATTATCCAGCTATAGGTGAAATTCATGGCAGGAGTGGGACCTGCTGCTCATTGCACTGAGCCATCTTACTCTTCTCCAGTACATCCACAAGAGTATAACTTACATCTAACATCAATAATGTTCTTGGAAATAGATATAAACACAGCAGGTTTCTGCTAATGAAGCTTTCATGGACAAGAACACCCTTAGTGTAACATCTCTAACTTGTGCTGTCACCCAGATTTGTGTGAATCCCAGATGAACTCGGGCCCGAGCTGCAAAGAGGAAACCATTCATGAACCTAGTGAGGGGATTACTGTAAAACCCTGCTGTTCATTTCTAGGTCAGAACACCTTTGCTGCTCACGAAACCACAAGCTCCTGATATGGCAAAACCCAATTAATGTTTAATGAGTTCAAAGGAAGTGGAGAATCCTCAGCAGGAGAAACAGAACAAATGGAGAAGTGATGACACAGAGGCTGTGCCAGCTAAGGCACACTCTCTTCAGTACTGTTAATTACAGGTAGTTGTATTATCTTTTGGTTTCTAGGAGTTGTCTGAAACAATCCTGAAGCCACAGGAGATTCCTTCAAAAAACCTGTCGAGGACAGAAATTTTCCTCAGAAGACTGGAAAAGAGAAAACGTGGTACCTCTCTTGAGAAGGTGGATAGGAAAGAGTTTGAAAAACTAAATCTGTAATCCTGGCTTTAGTATTTGAAAGAAATACTGCAATCACTCACCAAAGAATCTGTTTGTAAGCATGCCGAACTCGAGTCAGTGGTAAGTAAAAACCTGCAGAGATTAATCTGAAAATTACTGAAATAGAAGTTATTTGACTTCCTCTGTGAACTCTTCAGCAAAGGGAGATGGGGCTGTAGGAGGGGGAACAGGCTCACACACTACCTCTAAAGAACTTCTCATAAGCAAACTTGAGCAGTATGAAACCTCTGTATGATTCGTGGTACCCACTGAGATTCTAATCACTGTCTGCTCTATAGGAAAGATGTCTCTGCTACAGTTCAGTTTCTTTCAGGATGAGTATGAGCAGTATTTTTACTAATAATTTGGACAATGCAGTAAAGATGATGCTTGTGAAATGACTGCAAGGTTATTTGTCAATGAAAATGATTCTTCAAGTGAGCCCTAAGCAAACATTACTTAGTCCGGAACAGTTGCAAGCAATTCCCATGGATTACTCAAGATGTGAATTTTAAATTTGAGACACTAAAATGATAATAAACCACCATGTTTTTAACAGTCAGACAACTATCAATTTAAAGGCTCTTTTCTTGAAATTAATAATTTTCTGGGGTAATGCCACACATAATTTGGTACTAATGAATTCTAAAGAAAAGGCATTCAGTGAGCTGGTGATGCAATTAAAGTGACACCAAAGTGTTTCAGCAGACACAAGCCAAGACACAGACTCTCATTTAACAAAGTGCAAAGGGTCCTGGTTTGTTCTTCTGCACAGCTCAGCCATCCTGAGTGATTGCACCCAGCTCCTGCTGCTGCCTATTCCTGCTGGAACATGACTGCAGTCACACCCAGCTCAAACATCCCTGCAGCTGCAGCTCCATCAGAGCCACCCTGAGCTCACAGCACATCTGCAGCAGGAACTCTCTGCTTTGTCTTGTTCTTCTTTGTCTCTCTCTAGCTCCATCCTTCTTCCTCAGGGCCCCTCTAGCTCCTCTTCCTCCAGGCTCCCCCTGCCAGGCCACCCCTTTTATCACACTGATCTGGATCAGTCACAGCTGGGACCCATGAAGGGCAAGGCTGTTCTTCTTCTTTGGTAATTAGTACAACTGTGATTTATCAGGGGTGAGGTCACTTGTGATCCCGCCTTCCACACCTACACCAAACCTCAGACTTTGAAGAGTCATCATGCCTGGTTTTCTGATACATTTACAAAGCACACCGAGTGCTGGGTTGTCAGGTGTTGTCACTGCCCCAAAATGTTTCAGTTGCCTGGTTTTCTCCCCAGGCAGATGGGTGCCCTTGGGCACAGGACACCCTGCTAACCCTAAAGCTGTGTTCCCATGTGCCCTGCCCTGGCCCTCAGTGGCAGCAGCATCTCCCCAGAGTGAGCCCTTGCACCCACAGCACCGACTCAGCTCCGTGTTCTGTGTGACTTTCTCACTTCTCACACACCACAAACACGTGATTCTCCAAGTAGCTGCCACACACTGCTGGCTCAAATGGGCTGATTGAACCTCACCCTGATGACCAAGCCAAGGTTTTCCCTTTTGTCTCGTTTCTGGCAGGTAAATCCAGCCCATAAACCTTGGTGATAACATCCAGCTTTTGCAGTTCCCAAATTGCCTCTCCAGAGCTCACCCTCACTGCCACAGTGGGGTCACACAGCCAAGGACAGCCCCAGTGCTGTGCACCCCCTTGGTAACCCCCATCCAATCTGTTTGTAATCCTCACCAGCTCCAGGCAACCATTTCATTACTGAACAGCCCTTGCTCCAAACCCTGCTTTTTCTGGTGCTCTCCTCTCATTTCTAGTACACTTTGATGAAATGCAAGTGCCTAAAATCCTCAGCCTTTCTCCTGTATGAAAAAGCAGATACTTCATCAAAGATAAGGGTCTGGTAAGAGCTCTCAAAGACTTATTTAGCATTTTTCTTTATAAATCCTTGTGAAGCTTAGGCTCATCAGTTACAGAACTGCTTTAATCACACTTAACACTCTTTCCTACAACAGATAGAATAGATTGAACATTTTCCAGCCACAATAATAACATCCAGACTTCATAACAACCACTGGGCTCGACCTTCAGCTTTATGTGCCTGTGCCTTCTGTAGTCTGAGCTGGAAATTCATGTTTAATAGGAGCATGTTAAGCTCTGAGTGCATTCTGTGTTCAGATATAGTTATTTCCATTATCACTCACTGATTCCCACCAGCCATCCCACATCTGACCTCCAGCACAATGTCAGCCTTCCTGTGATATAAGAAATAATAATAAGAAATTAGTGGTATAAGAGTTGGCAAAATGCAAGGCTGTCTCCTCAGCTGTTCTCTGTTTCTCTATACATTTTTAAATATTTTATTTTGGTCACACGCATACAAAAAATCTTTCACTAGTTGGTTTTGGTTTCTTTAGCACAGTTCAGCTCTTTTTGGCAGTGCTTAAGAGCTGTCACTGTTCATCCTCCAAAGCAAAGATTCTCCTCTTGATCAAACTCTTCTTAAAACGTCCTCACTTACTCCTAAAATTTCTTTTGAGCTATTTGGTTGGCTGAACTGGACTGGGAGCTTCAACTACCAATTTCCTCTGCTTTATTAGGACTTTTTGTGGTTCTGATTCAAAGACCACTTATAAAAAGCACTTTTAAGGCATAGTTTGTTAAAGCATATGTATGTTTTTAAAAACAGTGACAACATTCAAGATAAAATAATTTTTTTTAAGAATTGCATTATGAAGATGTCATGACTTCCACTTGCTAATCTTTGCTGGATTGTCAAAGATAATCAGTTAAAATTTAAACTGCATACCCCAAATTTAAACAATGCTGAAAGTTAAGCACAAGTGAAAAAAAAACACGCTTACTCATTTTGCACCTAGATAAAAGATCAGTCTTCTTAAGTTGACCTTTTAAAATACTGCATTGGATATAAGCACTGTATGAAACTAAAATATCATATAAATGTGGGTGCAGTAAAAGCACATCAGCAAAAGCTACTGATGCATGGGGATTTAGATGTAAGAGTAAAATCCCAGCTATCAGATCAACATGCCTTAATATGGAACAGTAATCTCATTAATTTCTGTGTAGCAACAAAACTAAGCATGATGTTAGGAAAACTTCAATAGGTGTACAAATTATTAAAGATAGCCAGTAGTCTTTAGAGTTTTTGAAAATACATGTTTGAAGGAGTCAGTCTCTTTGATATCTGAATGGGCTTCTCTTACATAGCAAGATAATCAGTGGATGCTGACTATTTTCCCCTGAGAATCAGACTCCCTTGTACATACCAAGCCAGTCAAACTGGAAACAGAAAGCTGTGTGCTTGAAAGGTTTCACTTTCTGTAATAGACACAGGCTGACCAACTGTCCAGCTCAAAACCAAAAAATTCTAGAACTATGTTTGAAAGGATCTTGGTTTGGCTTTATCATGGCATTAGCTGTGAATCTTACACATTTCCAACACTCTCTTTGTCGTTTCAGGGCAGAAATGACCAACAGCAGTGAGAATTGCAATTTCACAGCCATTGACAACCTGGCATGGAGCGTGCAGCTGGGGCTCTCCATCCCCACCTCCATCCTGGGGCTGGTGCTCAACATCCCGGCCCTGTGTGTGTTCTGCAGCTTTTGGAGGAATCAGAGCAAGACCTCGGTGTACATGATCAGCCTGGTGCTGGCAGACATCCTGCTGCTCCTCTCGCTGCCACTAAAGCTCTACTTCTCTGCCGCAGAGGCGCCTGGCCTGCTCTGCTCCTTCATCCAGGCTCCTTACTTCGTCAACACCTACATCAGCATCTTCATCATCGTCTGCATCACTGTGGACAGGTACACCTGCATTAAGCACCCCTTTGAAGGGCGAGCTAATCAATCCCCCAGGTGGGCCGTGGTCATTTGCTGCTTCATCTGGGCAGTAGCTTGGATCTGCAGCATCCCAATTTTTGTGTTTCAGAAGAAGGAACCTAGGAGATGCTTTCACAACATGTCAAGCCAGACATGGAGTGTCCCCTACATTGTTTCTGTGGAAATATTTGGGTTTCTGATCCCGCTTGCTGTGATGGTTTTCTGCTCTGCTCAAACCATCTGGATTCTCCTGAATCGCAACACTCATGACAAAAAGAAGGAGGAGGAAGAGAGTGGCTCATTGAGAGTAATTGTCATCAACCTGGTGGTGTTCCTGGTGTGCTTCACGCCCGTCCACCTCGGGATCCTGCTGCAGTGCCTGGTGAGGCAGCACGTGATCGTGGGCTGCAGGGTCAGGCAGACCATCAGCCTCTTCCTCCAGGTGTCCATGACATTTGCCAACCTGAACTGCTGCCTTGATGCCATCTTCTACTATTTTGCTGCAAAGGAATTCTATAGGAGAGCCCAGCTGGGGAGGGTCATTGAGCTGTGTCCTGCCTTTAACCGTTGTGCCATGCGACGGCACCGCCAGCAGTGGGACAGTGCCCCTTCCCAGGACACTGACAGTGCTGTGCCTGACCTGGCAGGGACTGTGCCACAGGGACAAGGACAGTGAATTTCCCAGTGACTGCAAACCTGTTCCATATTTTTCTTGCCTTTAAAGATAAAGGAGAAAAAAAGTTAGAGTAAGGAACCAGCATTAGCAAAGTGACAGACTGATCCCAAAAGAAGCATTAGCCTTGACAGTACCTACCAGATGCGAAAAGCTTGCCAGAGGAAAACTAACCAGGTCATAGGAATGCCTTTTAACATCAGCTTTGGTCATAGCTGCACCAGTTTTCCCTTTACATATGTGGTCAGAAAGGCGTTGCTAAGAGCAAAACTAGAAATAACTGTTCATAACCTTTCTAATTTAGAATCTGTCTTGGTAGTTAAAAAGTAATATCCAGCCAGAAGTCACTGCTGGGGCTCCTCTGCTTTGGGCAGCTTGGCCAGCCTGGGACAGCAGGGAATCCTCCTTCCATGGAAGCATCATGGACTGCTCAGGGCTGCTAGGAGGGACAGCAGTTTTTGCTCTTTCATGTAGGACATGCTGCCCAGAATAGAAACCCAAGGGACTACCTCAGGTACCAGCCATTCCTGATCACCTGTGCTGAGGAGTCATCGTGCCTTTCTGCTGCAATTTTAAATCAGGTTTTGCCCATGTAAATCCAAACAACCCCTTCAAATATGAGATGTAGAGAAAGACTGAATGTGTTGAAACTGTGTTTCTACATCAGTGCCTTTCTGTCTAAGATATAACATGTATGAAAACACATGTATTCTTCTGCCTGTCTTCTCATTCTTTCTTGGCCAGGGGAATTAGGGAAGCAAGCCCTGCATGACAGAAGATGAGGGAGTGATTGGCAATCTCCTCTCTCTCAGCTCAAAGCCTGGACCAGCCCTACCCAGCTCATTCCTTAGGGAAGTCCTTCCAGCCTGTACTGTGCACTTCTCCAAACATTTCTGAGCTTGCCTGAACTCTTCAGGTCAGCCCTTCTGGGTTGTCACCACCCTAATGCCATTGCAAGTTTGGCTCTGACTCTGATCTAGAGGTTTCTCTGTTGCAATTTAAGCCAAGCATTTCTTGAACCCTTATCTGGGCATGGTTGGGGCTCATTGCCAGAAACACTTCCATGAAAAGAAATGATTTTCTTTGCCTTTCTAAAAAAAGCTGTGAAAATAGTCTAAGACCCCTGGTACTCAAGTTTATGGGGCAGGTATTCCATTTATTCAAAATGTGTAAAGAAATTACCTTCTCTCAGTAGGAAATTAAAAAGAAAAGGGTCCAGTTTTGAAAATACAATTTGCTGTCCATCAATTTCCATAGAAATTATTGACTGTGCAAGTAGGCAGCTGCACATACCTTATAGTGGACCTAATATATGAACATTTTAAAACTTGTTAGTACTAAAACTATGACCACAGCTGAGGTGAAAAAACATTTTTGTCATCATCTTCGCTGCTTTCTGCAAAGGAGCAAGAGGAAGAGCTTTCCAAAAGAATAGATTTTCTAAACATTATTGAGTGCACTGAGTCCATGACTCAGAAACTTACAGATTTTCAATATTTTTCAATATGGGTCAACCTTTCTTCTTTGCACTTTTCACATTACTTTGCATACAAAATATATGTGTGAGCAAGAAGTAGTTTTACTAAATAAACTGTACATGCGAAGTGTATGATTTGAAAATACATTTTAACTTCCCAATTTGACAGCAGTGTGTAATTCTCCTCTACCTGCACTACCTGCCTAAAAAATTACTCAGCAACAGCAGCACCTGTGACCCCTCAGAAAGGCTGGGATTATTAAATCAGGGCTAATTAAGCTGCAATAATGGGCAGTGGTGGAGCCACTGTGAGCCACTGCTCTCAGTGTGCTCCTGGCTGCAAACCCAGACTACAAAATCTGGAAGTTAAACTAAACTATTTTCTTCCCATTTACTGCCACCAGTGCCACTTCTTTGTTGGCCTGAAGTGTTTTTGTACATAATTTCATTGGTCTGAATTTTGCCTGTTGTATAACTAAAAGAGAGCAGCCTTGCTAAGCCTGCTTGAAATTTGAGAAATGAAATGAAAATGAAATTAAGAGAAAGAAGGAAGAGCGCACAGCTGTGTTGATTTTACAGGCTGTTGCAGTAGTCCTGTTTTTTAGCACAAAAGAGCACAGGTCTTTTGAGCAAGAAGGTGTCACTTTCAATTCACTGCTTTTCAAGATGAACTTACATTCAAATAATGCACTCAAGTCCTGCCTTTGCCCTGCAGCTACAGTTCTTTCTAAATCAGGATTTTACACACAGGCTCCTGTGGGGAATCCACTGTTAACTCTGGAGCATCTCCAGTTGGTTGTAGTTTTATACCAGGACAAAGCAATAAAAATCCTTCTGCAGCTTGGAAAGGTGCAAAGCAATTTTGATGATGGATAAAACTGAAAAGCATTTGATATTTTAAAAACCCAAATCTTCCTGAGCTGATACACAGGTTCAGTGCAACAGAAGCGGTTTCTTCTCTCTTGGTGTTATTTTTAATACACAGAAAAGTGATGGAAACCTGAATGTGAACCCCTCACACACTCAGGTTCTCCTCACTGCCTCAGCTGTACTATAAAGTCAAAAAAGTACTGTCTTAGTGGAAAAAATAAAAATCAAGTGCTAACCATAAACACCAAAAACAATGCCTTTAAAAATTGCATTTTCAGTTCTGCCCTCTTCTGTGAATTGGACAAAATCAGGATTGCACAATTAACCACAGACCTTACAGAGGAGCTGTATTGAACATTCTTTTTTCTGGACATGCCATTTCAGGCCACAGGTGAGAATATTCACCACACAAAATTTTGTTTTCCTCCCACTAAACTTCTCCAACTGGACTAAACCCCACAGGCCTCCACAATGTAGAAGACAGCTGATTTTTCTTGAGGGCATTTTTATCAATGGCAGATCACTCCAATATTCTACAATTAGCATTTGTTCAGCCATCAGTGTGATTACCCAAGCTGTATTTTGTAGACTCACCCAACTGAAGGACAGAGGAGCATAAAAGTAGTTTGGAAAAAAACCCCAACCCCCAATTTAAACAAGCAAACAAAAACTCCCAGCACACAAAACCACACAGGATTTGTTCCCCAAATTCTTTTCCTGTCTGGGTTATATCATCTTCATCTCCCTACTTGAGCACAGAACTCAGTGGCACTCCAATAATTTCTAATGTTATGAAAGTAGCATCAAAACAATGCCAGAATTTTTGAAAAATTCTATTGGCCGGGAAGTCCCTTCTGAAAGATTTTCAACAACAATGATATCGAAAAAAGGAAATTCAACTGGTTTAACAGCAAGTAGAGGGTCTAATATATGAACTTTTTCTAGCCTTCATATGCTGCTTTTATCATGCATGATTTATGAGCTCAAAGGCACCTGAGGGAGGGTCCAAGCCTGGATCCAAGCACTGTTGGTGTCCTGCCCTCTCACAAGGGGCCACAGATGGGCATGGGCCCTGGAGAGTCAGCCCAACATCTTTTCACTATGATTAAATACATTAGTTAAAAATATAAACCAGACACTTTTCCATGTGAGGATGAACAACCACAAAGGAAGCCTAATAAATGTCACTCTAGTATAGTTTGTCATATCAAGTAATTTCGAGTTTTCAGGAAACTCCAAAGTGAGAAGAGCAGCCATCTCACTGCCCGAGGCAGCCTCCAGATTGTGACAAAAGGCTGAAATGGGCTGGAAGATTGAAACTGATCTTCAGAGAGACCCAAACCTTCCAGGGTACGTCACTCAGGGGTTGTTCTGCAGCACCACAACTTAGCCTGCCTCAAACACAGGCAAACAAGAGACAGACCCAGGCTACTCAAAGGTACAGACTTGTGACTGTCTCACCAAAGTGGTTTTGCTGAGGTTTTCCTCCTCACATTAATTTTCCACTTCAGACTAGCTGCTTTCTCTGAGCCTTGGGCACGCTCTCCATCCTTCCACCCAAACACGAGGAGAGGAGCAGGGGCAGTGTCCTCTGAGGAGCTGGCAAGTGCAGCAGGGGAAAGCAGAGCCCAGCCAGCTGCTGAGGGGACTGTCACCTGCCCTGGCAGCCTGCAGGGACCTGCTCAGCACCACAGTGGCCAAGGACAGCAGCTGAACAACCCCTCTGTGCAGCCAGGGCGACTGAGAGACTTTGGCTGCCACACACCCAAAGGTTCCCAAGGACTTCCCACAGGGAAAAGGGGCAGAAATGTGAGCCCAGAGCAAATGTGCTTGTCCTGGGCAAACTGAAAACAAACCTGTCTGTTAGTGACACAACAGTGTAAATGGGAAAGCTGGCTTGGCTGGCTTTCAAATTAGTGTGCTTGCTAGACACGTAGAGAAGCACAAACTCCTCACACTCTGCTCTGGCTGCTCTCCTGGCACTGCCAAAGGCTCAGTCACCAAAAGGTGCAGCAGCTTCTCTTGCTGTTCAGCTGTGACCATGTTCACAGGGGTCTGAGCATGAGGGAAGAGACGTAGATCTGACTCCGTGTTTCAGAGGGCTGATTTATTATTTTATAATATATACTACATTAAAACTATACTAAAAGAATCGAAGAAAAGGTTTCATCAGAAGGCTAGCTAAGAATAGAAAAAGAAAGAATGATAACAAAAGCTTCTGTCTTGGACAGAGAGTCTGAGCCAGCTGACTGTGATTGGCCATTAATTAGAAACAACCACATGAGACCAATCACAGATGCACCTGTTGCATTCCACAGCAGCAGATAATCATTGTTTACATTTTGTTCCTGAGGCCTCCCAGCTTCTCAGGAGGAAAAATCCTAAGGAAAGGATTTTTCATAAAAGATGTCTACGACAGTTCAGCTGCTGTGTGGGCAGGGGGGAGGAAGGCAGAGGAAGAGGAGCAGAGGATGCCCCAGCAGAGCACAGAGGGTGAGCTGAGCCTGCTGTCAGGGCAAGCATCTGCCTGGGCACTCCAAGGTGGCTGCAGTCCAAAGACACAAATCTGCTCCCAGCATAAAAGTCACACAAGGCACAGAAAGCCCCTCTCTGACCCCTCTTCTTGCTCAAGGCAAGATTTTGGGCATCTCCCCAG